TTTCAGCCTGTAGGCTTGCATAGGTAAATGTATGAGTGCTTACCTATTCTGTCTTGCAAATAGTTGTTGCTACTACGTACGATGGGAGCTTCCATCTTTAATCTTAAAACACTTAAACGTGCGTGCCATCTCGTGGCAACTTTCATATCGATCCCAACGAACATACCTTCGAGAAGGTTCCTGATACCATCCCTGTGCCTTCCACTGTTTCGGCGCATATGTGAACACATTTGGGACTAACAGGGTTTACTAGAATCCCACCACTCCACCACAGAGTCACTGCAGTAGACGTGAGATGAGCGCTGTCGCTCTGCGGCACTTGTGTTATTTAAATGTTCCAAGTGCCTGTGATGTCTTCCCTCCCAATCCTGCATGCATGCTTGCTTTCCCATCTTTGTGTCTGTATGTCTCTCTCTCTTTCTCTCTATCTTTCACACACGGACACACGCTCTCTTTCTCTCTCTCTCTCTCTTGCTTTCATTCCCTTTCTCACTCTGTGCCCCTCTCTTCTTGCATGCACGCACACACACGCATGCACACGCACACGCACACACACTATCTCTCTCCCTCCCTCCCTCTCCTCCCTTCTCTCTGTACTATATTCATATATGTATACCCGCCCATACTAACGTGGTTTGAATTATTTGGTGAGCATCTGTGCTGCTGCCCAACTGCGATGGCTGGTGGTTGGATGAATGGTGTGTGGACTAGGTAGTCACTGGCTGTTACAAATTATCATTTGCAGTAAACACTGTAGGTGCGTAGTTGAATGATAAATATGATATCTATTCCCAGTTGTGGTTTGAGCGTGGTGAGTCACCTTTTTCTTTAGCAAGCTGGAAGAGGGCCTTTGGATTTTCTTGGAGGCCATAATCAGCATCCTGATTGATTGTTATGTTTGTTCAGCTTGACCTAAGTAATGCGCATATATACTTGTTTTTCAGATTTGGCAGTCAGGTGAGGTACGACTATCACAGTAACAACTGCTTTCATCTTTCTTAATTGTGAGTTGTCGCAGTTCACACATAGTGATGTGTGACTTGGTGCTTCTTGGTGTGTGCGATGAAGTGCTACGAGACAGTGATAATGTGACCTTCGCCACCAACCATATTGGAGGCAAACCCGTAAGTGCAGCTTGAACCCTATATAGTATAATTTGCAACCGTTACTTATATTTAATTTTCCATTTTGATGCAGCTGGAAATCTATCAGCGAGTCAGGAAGACTGGAGATACTGGATAGATAGCAGAGAAAAATATCGGATCTAGTTAAAACTTTACCCTGCAAATGGAGAATATAGTTGATGATGTGGTTTCTCCCGAGGACTTAAAAAAATATGAAACCATATATACCAAGCAGTTAATTCAAGGTGATGTAAACAAGCAAGCACAGTTTGATTATGCATGGTGTCTTATACGAAGCAAATACCAGAATGACATGAAAAAAGGTATAGACCTCTTTAAGGACCTGTATTTGCATGGCGATGTGGATGCTAAGAGGGACTACATTTTCTACATTGGAGTTGCACAGACCAGACTGAAAAACTACACTGAGGCATTACGAGTTGTCCATGGGCTTCTTGAGGTGGAACCAACCAATTGGCAAGCAAAGGGTTTAGAGCACGTTATCAAGGAAAGGATGAAGAAAGAAGCTATTCAGGGAGCAGCCGTGGTCGGAGGAGTGACAATGGCGTTTGGCGTTGTTGGCGGCTTGATTGCGCTATCAATGGCACTGTCAAAGAAGTCATAGATGAAATTACACTAATCTTTGTTACATGCGTGAACATGATGCAAGGTTTAATGCAATTTCACATGTATGCATGCTAGGGAGTATAGCTTTGTGTTAATGTGCAGGCGAAGTATTTGTGAAGATAGCTCATTGCTGCATTATGTAGGTCAAGAGGAGATGACTAAAAAGGTAAATGATCCTGGTATGAATCAGGAACCCTGGAGAAACTTCATACTGTCGAATTTCTCGAGACTGTTACATTCGTGATAAGTGAATCCGTCTCGACTGTAGAAATGGCAGGATCAATCTCGTGGAATAATTTTATGGAGGATGTAGTGAAACTACAGCAGCATTCTAACTGCATATCTGACAGTTGGCAGTTGATTTCCAGCACAGCTGACCCAGCTCAAAGCTATCTCTGCAAGAAGTTTCAAAAACTCTACCGCCTTCCTGCCATTAGCACAACTACGATGCTGCCTAGCGATGAGCAGGTCATCGGCTGGAAGATAGGTGACGATGAGCAAAGTGTGGGGAACTGCTCTGCAATGACGACGACGACATGGTCACACGGTGACAATAAGCACATTGCCCAGCTGTGCAGCTGCGAGTATCATGTCGTGTACAGTGCCAGCTACGGCGTCCCAGTCGCATACTTCAACCTGTGCCGCACCAACGGCTGCCTGCTTTCACTTGAAGAAGTGTGGTATCTCCTGCCAGAGGAGGCAGCACGTCATGACAAGTGGACGTTCGTCACTCAGCAGGAGCATCCAGTGTTAGCAAGGCCCTTCTTTCAGCTACATCCGTGTCACACAGCTGCCTTCATGTCACGGGTGGGCAAGAGTCGAAACTACGTTGCCACCTGGCTGAGTGTCATTGGGTCAGCCATCGGGTTAGATGTTGATCTGTCTTATGCTACACTGACGTGAGCAAGTGGTTCGATTGCAACAAAAGGCCATCTGCTAATTCCAGTGTTTGTATGCAACCTGTAGACATATATATAAGCTGTACAGCAAATGTGTGGCTTACCTCGGGACAAGTAATAGGCGATGGTCTTCGCATTAAACCGAGTATTTTATTCAGATAAAATATATATGCTAATATATCATATATGTCAGATATTACAAACTTGAATATTTAGATCACAACAAATTATTATTTATTTGCTGGTTAGGAATTAGTGAAATATGTAGATCATATAGAGCATATATCCTGCAACTAACATTATATCGTCTTTTGACACATGAAAACCAAGCGTAGGTATAACTCAGTATTATGAGTATTTCTCTATATTACTTAGGCCATAATAAAAATATTGTTTATTTGCCCTCACCCGACCGATCTGCCAAAAAGGGGCCGACTCAAATTTTTTTTATTGATCTTGCCCATTATTTTTTTTTACAAAATGTATCACTGTAAATTATATAAATTTGTAGGCAATACATTATATGTACCAAGCAAAACAAACATTCAACAAGCACACCCGAGCATGTATAGACTCTGTGCTGAATTTGTAATAAGACCCCCATCAAAAAAAGCCTACCTACCTACCTACCCAAACATTTCAGCCTGGGTCGGGTGAAGGCAAACAACGATTTTTATTAATTGTGGCCTTAGGATGTTAATTATTATGAAATTTAAAAAAAATACAACAGTCATGTCACTGCTGTTCCCTAGCTATAGCTAGACGATCTTGTTTGTAGACCACTGCGGATCCCAGGGTCTTGAATATTGCACCTATACTGTTAGTGTCCTTGAAGTTGCTGAGAAAACTCATTAGTATATAAGTCTGATCATAAATAGTCATACATGTATAAATAACTGATCAATGTTTGATGCAAGGAAAATGCATGTTGAGAGTTGCTTAAAGTTTGTCTCAAAATGGATAGGCATTATACTGTACATGTAGTTCGTTGCATATTCGACCACTATAATAGCTTGAGAAGTGCACAAAATAAATATGTGCAGTCATTCATATAACCGTTTCATGATCGTTACTGTTCAATAAATTTATTTAAATTGCCTGAGTTGTTCAGCCTTTCTTCTAAAATCTTGCCTTCTGATCATTCCATTACAGACATGGATGGGCGATACTCTTGCCAACCCAGTGTGTCCGTTTTGTGGTCAAATGCTGCTGTTAACAGTACAGATATACTGTCCTCTGGGAGGGTCGGCCTATCATCGAACCCTTTACATATTCTGCTGCATCGCACCAACTTGCTGGAATAAGTCAGAAAGGTGAGATAGGTAATGGTGCCACCCAATACGCAATAGCAAATTCCTTATTTAATTATAAATAATTGTCACCTGAACGTTGCATAACGAGCATGTGCAGATTACACTGGTTGATGTACAAATTATTTCACAAATGAGATGATATGTACACATAGCTGAACTACATATGCATATCGAGAAAGCAGTTCAATCTTATGTATCATAAACCTCTACTGGAGTTATTATGTATTCAGTGAGTTAATATAAAAAATTTGGCACTGGTGACTTTTTAAATCCGTTTACCACGTTTGCCTAATAGCACAAAATTGCTACTTCTCAATCAAACTAGATTTCTCACATTAATCATGGTTCGACGTATGTAGCATTTTTCAGCTTCATTCATACATGTACTCCACCTTTGAATGCTAGTAGTAGTAGTACCAAACAGAAAGTTGGCCATAGCTCGATTCAATTAACATTATTCAGCTGGAAAGTAATCAGAACACAAACTATTGATACGGAAGTCGAGGCGGTCAGCACGAGTGCAAAAGCATCTGTCGCTGACCAATGGTGTCTGTCTGAAGACGATTGGGGAGATGAGGAAGATGGCGTCATGTCAACTAACAATTTGGTTGCCAAAGAAGATGATTTGGGAGACACGGGATCTGGCAGCAGTGAGCTTAACGAGCAGACCTGTAATCGATGCGTGCCTAATGCTGCTACCGTAGCCGAGGACGTCATTGGCAGTGGTGATCGGTGCAGTTCCAGCTCAGAACCTAGTCAGGAAGTCCTCGATGCATTGCATGCCATGACAGTGAGTGATACTGCATCATTGTCATCGGCTGAAATTGATGCTGAAACGACTGATAACGTGATTGCCGAGGAACTTCGACTATCAGCTAATGCCGCCTGGAGAGAAGTGGCAGAGGTGGTGACACGAGAGGAGGGCGTAAGATTCGGGGCATTCTACATTAGTGCATTTGAAGAGGGGACACCAGTGCAACCAGACACTGCGCACATCACACACTTGCTGGTCGCATATGAAAAGCAGGAAGGGAAACAATTTCAGCAACTATTGGCTAGTGCGAGGTAATTCCATCATATCAGTTTTTTTATTGACAGTCATGACGGTTGGATGTAATACAGTGCAATTAGTTGCACCGAAGTTTCCAGTCATTTCTCGTCTTTCAATGTTTTACGTTTTCTGGTCATGAGAACCCTACAAAGTAATAGTGCCATATTCGATTTGTATCCAAGTATTTGTTTGAGATGAATTTCAGTTTACAACCTGTACTATGTGTTCATATATGTACTCGTACGTAAACAATAGGGACCGGATACGTTAATATTCACATTAATAATCGTGTTATTTTAATGGGTCTCTATATATGTCTAATTATAATATTTGCACAGTTCAGGGTCATGTGGCAAAGTTAAAGCAGGATCTGAAGGTTATGAGAAGGGCTCTGCAAGGCATGGCGACCAAGTCTTCCAGTCCTTTCACAAGAAAATTCAGGCGTGTCCTCAACAGTGCTTACGGTGATTCATTTTTATTATTATTTTTGGTTCCATTATCAATATATTATAGATTGATATTATTGCAGGTATAGTTATATGTTCATTAAAAATTCCAGCTCTACATGGATACAGTTATGCATAGGGAAACGTCGTATACAAGGTTAATAATTAATTATTTGCTGACAGGTACTGCATTGGTGGGAAACCTCTCCATATTAGGTGCATCAAAAAAGAACAACAGATCATCCCTCCCTGTAAGAGTTGTGGGTCGCCCAGGCAATACGAAATGCAGCTGATGCCAACACTTGTTAGTATCCTGAAGCTCAGCAATCAGGAAGTCAAATCAGGTACTGGAAGTGCAAACACCACATAATTCCTCCCTCTGCCACCCTCTTAAAATCTTTGCATAAGAATATCAACAGTGTTTAAGTAGCAAACATATGCTGAACTCTTGATGATTTTCATTTAGATGATGAAGTTGCTGATTGCTGTTGCATACAGGCTCGGCTGTGGAGTTTGGCACCATCCTGATATACACATGTCAGAACAGCTGTTGGAAGGATGGAGACGTATCCCACGAGGAATATGTCATTTTAGAGGCTGACCCTGACCAGGAGCAGTTCCAGTGAAGGTCCACCAACTTGACTAGGAAAGGTTCCAGGAAGGACTAAACGAGATTCCAGTACCGTGTGATCATGCACAGGAGTGTAGGTTTCAGAAGGAGCCAACCATCACCAGTGGTTCACGAAAATATCGACTTACAGTTATAAGATCAACCCTGACCAGACGAGGATTTACTAAATGCTGTTCCTAGGAGATAATCTAATAAACGTTGTCATTTACCCAGATGTTAGGAATGTCTAGTTAAGGTTTGCAGTTACCCAGGGAACACTAGTAAAGAGTTAATTGGGTCAGAAGAACTAGTAGTAGCTGATCGTGGTAATTCCCATTTACCAAGAGAGGATATAGAATATATAGAACAAATGTTTTTTTTCTGAAAAATGCAGTTACGCTTATGTTAACGTTTTGTTCTAGTAGAAGTGCTTTGTCAGACATATTTACTTACAGCAGTGTGAATGTGAATAGCCCTGTAGCCTGTGGAACTGTATGTACAGGTATAAATCTATGCATGCATATCGGGTAAAGTTGCATTGTACAATTTGAAATACATACAAATATCCTCATTAGGTTGCTTACAAAACTATTTTTACTTATCAGTTATCATTAACTGTGGTTTTATCACATTCAGTTCAGTTTTCTCTTTGTTCTGTCACATGAAATTTGTCACAACAGATGTGACAAATTTTGACACGATATAAGAAACAACTTTCTTACAACTGCATTCAGAGTACTAAAATAGTACTGTACCTTTTATGCAGCCTTTATTGAAAGCTACCATTATATTCATATCAGCAGAGAAAAATTAAACTACTAGAGTAGTTTTACATGGAGCAGTCATTTGTGCGAGACTTGCCAATATTGCAGTTTGGCCTATACTGCATGCTGTGACACAAACATCTATGCATACTCCCCTCTTGATCATAAAGTGTGTCTCGAATAAACAGTATTATATATGACCATAAACTAACTAGACTAATTTGTCATAAAATGATCATGCATTTAATTATACATTAAATGATTGTTTAGTTTGATAAATTCTACATGCATATTACAAATGAACCTGTGTATACATAAGGTTCATGATCTCGTGAGTATACACCATGTCAGTGTCAATGTCCAGGGTGCGAAATTAACGGGAGTCCGGAGTCAAATACTCCCTGATTTGACATATGCAGGAGTCCGTGTGACTCCCTGAAAATTATGCCATACGAACTACAGTTCGTTCCTCATGGAATTACCGTATTTTTTCAGCAAATGCCCAAAGAAAATTTGGCAGACGTGCAACCGCATGAATCTTGAAAATAAGCACATGCGTTATTGTTAATATCTTTAATTTTGAACTTCAGATGTGGACTCCCTCATTTTGCCGCGGACTCCCTCTTTTTGAGAGCAGGGAGTCCGTTGGACTCCCTTGTTCAAAAGTTAATTTCTACCCATGAATATCTGAGCACAATTACAACGAAACTATACAATATACTTGCACGATGTTGCAACTTAGTCTAATATGCAGAAATGTCAAAGAATAACCACATATCTCTTGCACGAGCATCCTGCGTTCTACAAACAAGTCCTTTATTTAGTCCGACCTTTTCCCCGTGCTTTACTAGTGCCCTGGGATCCATGTGTCTTGCCACCCTTTGCTTTTTCAGATTTTGAAGCAGTCACTCCTGCCTTCCTCTTGCTACCTGCAGCTACCTTTGCTTTAGACTGAAATTATAAAAAATTGTGAAATTGATTATATACATAATTATACAAATCTGCTGCTCTAAAATGGCCCGACTTTCATTTTAACTCAGTATAATAACACCAAATTATTGCTACTACGATGTTGGTATGGGTAAGAAAGTGATACCAAAACCGGGGTGATGGGTGAGAGTTTGCAAATACCAAAACAAAACCGTAGTTGCCATGGTACCCATGTGTACAATAACTGCAATTAATGGATTTTGCTATTGGTTAACATTTATGAAGGGATCAGACAAAAGTTGGATCTGATTTCAATTAAAATTATGTAATATGATAAATCGATATTTAATACATTGTTTTTAATGCGGTTATTTTTAATGCAATTTATTGCAATTTATTCTCTCTCAACAGTGGCTACATGACCATCCACCATGTTAAACTCCAGTTATCCTCGCTGATTGACTTAATTATCTTACAGATTGCTGTCAGTAGCGGTACCTGTTTGATCATTGCATCTGCAGTTACACCTTCCTCCTCACTGTGCTCACTGTCTGGTGCCACCTCTCCTTCCCCTCCCAAGAGATCCAGCTCTCCCTCAGCACCACCTCCTCTTGTTTTCCCCCTCTTCCCGTTTGTAACACTAGTGATAGAGTAGGGGTTGAGGTGCACCTCCTTGTTGTAAGTTCTTGTAAAAGCTCCCTTGACCTGCCATTGCGAAACGAAAAACATGAAATGTGCACAGTAATCGCCATGAAATCTACTCAGTGGTCATGTACAAGTTCACAATACATCACAAGTAAGTATAGAATGGAAGTTAGTATTGTACCAGGTTTATTGGTAGTAAATCTGATGTTTCAATCCACACTTGCTTCACTCACATATATTGTAAGCTTGCTAAAGAAAACTTAGTGCAGTAAATTGAATATTATATGCTACCTTAGGGTTTATTTGGCTCATGGGGTCCCTAGAGCCTGGCCACTGTGTGACTTCCATGATCGAATCAATGTCCTCTCTTAGCAGGCAGTAATTGTCCATTACTGTCATCACTTCCGCGATGCCATCGCTGCCCTTTGTTATCAGTGGCTGAGTCAGGTTGTGTCTTATGTGTGGCAGATAATCCCGTCCCAGACTTGACTTGTCTCCTGATATCCTAAAGTTATTGTACACAAATGAATGTAAAAGTGATTTGATAGACATCACAATGAGTTGACATGATGGCACAATGAGTTGTGATCTAATTATAAAGTTTTATGCATTTCAATCTCTTTGTATACAACGGCATTGGTATATTAAAAGTTAACCTGAATGAAACTGATCGCTGCATAAAAGTTGAGCATATTTATTAAAACTTAAGATATATTACTACGTAATGCTATGGTTGTTCATAGTGATGATGGGGACGGATACTACAAGTACTTAGTTGGGATATACCACTAAGTAAGTAAAGGTTTACCACACTTATAATTAGTTTTAACACTGTCAATGCCCGCAGTAATGCAGGAACACATACATACAGGAATTTCATAAGGCAGTATATTTATGGATGGATCGGGGAGAGGTCTGAAAGGGGTGTATGCTGCTAGGAAGAGGGTTCAGAAGCAAATGCCTGCCAGGACAATGTTCGAATTCTGGAGGCAATTTCCTGCTTGCTGAGCGATTTTCAGGCAGTTCTGTGACAACAAAACACCAAGGTCTAGGGTTTGGGTTTTTTCCTACAACATGTACAATAAATGTTGAACAAACAAATCTCAATATAATGTCAGCTATTCTTTATTGTTCAAAAACTCCTTTTTATAGTTTCTCCTAAGATGGAACTCGTGCACACATACGTAGGTGGCACGTAAAGTGTGCATATAATGTGAATGTTCCTAGAATCTGTGTCCTGCATCAATGTACTCCACGTGCATATGATACTAATTCTTAAATTACCTCAAATTTCTTTTCCCTCCTGGTCGCAATGATGAAAATTTACCACAAATAGTAATAGCCAGCTGGGCCGTTTAAGTGAAAACTTAAGGGGTACAGCTAACATTTTAGGGGTCCAGCTTATGGCATGAACCACAGAAATTGAGAAATTGTTTGCACTGAAATTGACACTAAAATTGTGCTCTACTACACATCTAGGCACATTCATTAGTTCATATCACAAGCTGTTCTAGAATTTTAAGCATAGATTAAATTAGTTTTCATTCTAATAGTTAATAATTTTTAAAAATTGTAAGCGAATTGTAGTGGGGTAATCGTAGCAATGAAACTGCAGCAAGTTCACTGATTATGTAATAGCGACAGCTAACTGGTGCTGTATGAAAAGGCATCAGTAGAGCTACGCCTACCTCTACATACCTGAGATGCATGTGCATGTGAAGATCCTGTATCAGGCGAGATATCTTGCTGGTTGTCGAGTTTTTACCGAGCCATCCTGGAAAGGTGACCATTTGTCCGACATACCCTCTCATATTCTCTCCGGGTATAACACTTGCAAACATTGCCTGATTAGTAAATGATAAACGCAGTTGTAATTGTGATAAAATTGCAAAACATACATTCTCATGTAATCTGTGCATAACACATAACAGCTCAACTATGTTTGATTTATAGATATATTAGATTGGTAGTATATATACCTCTATATATAGCTCTACACGTAATTAATCATACGAGTTTAAAAACCAAATAAGCAATACACTGGCTTTTATAAATCTGTTGGAATTAGCTTTTGGTATAGACAACACGTATTATTGTCGCAATTGTTGATAAATTCGTGGTAAAGCTCTGCCCTTGCACGTCAAAGGAGAGAGTGGATAATTTTGTTTATTTTATCTTCATGGTTAATATTTACGTCACTTCGATAATGGTTATTTTATTACTGAGTTTCGCGATTGCTGCTCCTTTCATCAAGTGGTACTCAATGTATATGTGTCTGATATGACCACATGTGCTTGATTCCTACCTCTGTAGGCAGAAGACTCCATTCATTATGCTTGCGAATCATCTTGTCTACAATATCCCCATCACGAATGCTGTCTGCTGCCTCACTCAGTAATGCCATGTGCCTTTTTTTGTTACCCCTAAAAACCACAACCAGTGTTACACACACTAATATACAAATATATTAAATTTCTAGGATCATTACTCAATACAGCAATACCCATGAATATGGTATGATGTGAATTGACTAGAGTAGTAGGCCATGATAGTACCTACAGATGATCACCAAGCCTGCATTTAGATGGCACATCTGTCTATCAAGATGCCAGTTCAGTATGTATTATATAGTATAGTATTATAGTAACAATTATTAAGAAACCATGTGTACTAGTGTCTAATGCTGTTACATTATTTCATTACATTGTTTCTTTCTAATACTTTGCAGAGGATTGGATATATCGTTTTAGTTATACCACGCTTATTAAATAGGTAGTTCAATCTATCAAATACCACAAGTTGATATAGCCCATTATATACCCCACAACAAACAATCAATACAACAGATAAGGTATCAAATTTCATTCAACTTGCTTTGCTTCATATGGCGTCACATGTAGATAATTCTCCTGTACAAAAAGAGGGCCGATGCTGTAGTCGTGGAAAAACAAATCGGACTTGTCGTTTATAGTCATATGAGCTGTTTCCTCTCCACCAACGAACACCTTCCTGCAGACATCAAATGGACCCTACAACAGAAGCTTCCATCAGAAGATGCGTGGCAATGCGAGTAAAAACACTTGCAGCTAAAATAGTTTATAAATTCTTCTTGTACAATCTCAGTAAACCTGAAATTTGTTTTAAAAAAAGATCATAGAAGTAAACTCACCCATCAGTGCAAAAAAATTAGAAATTATAACCCTACTCAAATTTAAATGTTAATTTATTTAATTGCTTATTGTTATACTAAGTAATGGACTTGATCTGTCACTTCAAAGGTGCATTTAGCCAATGGTGGTAAATTCTTTCATGCAAAATGATACTATTCAATCCTGCTGAACTACAATTTGGGGAATGACTCGATGGACAATTCTCACTCATACGCTAGCTTCTTATTTAGCAACTTCGTGAAAATACCAAAATATGGATTTTCCAAAAAAAGCGTTGAAGATGATATCACCCGGGTGGAAAACATAAAAAAAATAATGACTAGCTGAAAACAAAACAAATAACCAATGATTCATGTTAGTGACATAATTTTTTTGCATAAAATTCTATTGAGGTTAAGAAATTGGGAGGAGAGACTGGCGAGGTCCTGCGTAACATACTGATTCACCGCTGATCATAAATTTTCAAATATAACCTGAAATGTGAGATAATGCATGCATGGTACCAGTTTAATGTCCTTCTTTGCCTTGCTAGAATCCACCTTCACCTGGTCATACGTAAGTGATTTTTCTGCAGCACTCCACATCGACAAGTTGTGAATAACCTGGAAAGCGTGTATGAATAAAAATTCTCAGACTCAATACCCTACACTTTAATATGCAAATCACCCCAAATTTATCACCCCTCCCATTGGTACATTTAAGATATCATAGAAACATTCAGATATAATTATAACAATCAATACTAGAGAATGGCAGGTAAAGCATTGCAGTACTACCTGTCTGATGTCTTGGTTAGAAGCCTGTATTATCTGCTCCAGTGCTGGAGGAGAAATCTTGACACCTTCCTTGAATGCTATGCTCATCAGTGCTCCCTGGTAATGGCAAATCACTGTTACCATGATGACAATAGATTCACATCTGCATGCTCACCTGTAACAATCTCCCACGTTCTCAGTGGCACAATGTTGAACAAATACCATTGATACAGTTGCTTTACTAGTTTGACATCTCAAACCACACCTACCTAAATTGTTTAGCATTTTCATCAAACATATTTAAACAGCAAATTACTAAGTTCTACACAATGAACCCAGAGACATAGATTTGATTTTAGCCCTCCACTCTGCAACGTGTACCTTAATCTGCTCGACACGAGGCCGGTAGAACCTTAGGTCATAGCAGTAGTTCACCAAGCTTCGCATCTTCATGTTGTGTCGATCATTGCAGATACAGATAACTGGTATTTTTGAAGACTTGATTAGCGAAATCAGCTCCTGTGGAAACAGAATAAAAATCTTTACTAACTATCACAGCTCGTGAAAACTGCTCTACATGCCACTTAGACAATGTATTAACTAATTCAGGCCCAGCACATTACAATATGATATCATCAGGAGTAAAAGCAGAAGTGCTGATATATTGTATGAATTCTGCTTACAGTTAAACCACCTCTGTCTTCGTTCCCAGCCATTCCATCGACTTCATCCATGATAAGAACATTCTTGTCACTTGGACCACCTTTTGGAACAAATATATACATGTACCAAATACAAGTTATAGCTTATTCTATCATATAATAATTACTATATAGTGAATAAAACATAACACTAGTATTCCAAAAAGCTCCTCGACGTGCAAAGGCTACAGAAGATACCCATACAGTCAAATCATTTTAACAGAATATAACTTGATTAGTATTAAATACAATACCAGTAAAGTATGCTGTGACCGTGTTGTTGTCAACACTTTGTGTCACCACTTCCTTCAGTAGCTTTTTGCTGCGTGTATCCGAAGCATTGCGTTCCACATAGTTAAAACCTAGTTCCTAAACATGCAAGAACTCTTTTCAGTTTTTGAGAATAATCGATTAGTAATTACAAAGAAACCGGTAATTTATATGTAAATAATTAGCTAGCAAAGGATTTTCAAAATTTGTCATTTTACGTTAATGCGCATGTTATGCTTACCTTACAAATAAGTGTTGCAGCTGTAGTTTTGCCAACACCAGGAGGTCCTGACAAAAGTGCAGCTTTAAAGCTGGAACCATCATCACTAGCACCAAATCGACCTAAAAGGACAGCTTTTTCAATGTAACGTAGATTTGCATTTAGTGGACACATGTAAATTTATATGTATACTTCAGCATACATATGATTGAAATATCAATTAGTACCTATAGTCACAGTAGTATAGTGTATTCGACAGATATGAAAAGACGACAAAAATTAAATCTCAATATCATGCCCTACCTACATTTATTATTATTATTATTATAAAGAAGAGAGGGGCTGATAATAATTGCAACATTCATGAACTATAAATCACAATGACAAATTTACAGTACAATCATGCAGTATACCCCATGCTGCCTTTTTAGGTGCTCCACTCAAGTGATTCTTGTGCCAGTTTTTTAGCCAGTTGACGAGTTTCTTCACGTTGCTTTTGTCACCTGACTGACCGACAATTTCACTCAGTTTCTTGGGCTTGTACTTGTCTACCCACAGAAGGCTGGATGCTGACTGACTGCTACTCGGCTGCGATTGGCTGTGACATTCCTGCGATGAAGACTGTTGCGACTTATTAGGCAATATCGCCCTTGAAGATGGTTTAGATACTTCAACCTGAAAATGAACATTATTGTACATGACAAACTTCTATCATGTTTTTTTATATATCGTGTTTTTTCTTCATAGTTACTTTATTATAATAATGTTCACATAATAATATTAAATAGCTATTACATTTTTTCAATCATTACAAAGCAGCAATGTTTTATCTTTAGAGAAATAGAATGTAATATTATAAGTTATAACCACAGAACAATAACCTTGGGTTTAGGCGATGGGGAATGTTCATACTTGGAACGCTTAGCAGGCAAGGTTCGTATAAGGTCCAACAAGCCATCCTCATCTAGCTGCTTTGTGCCGCATTTCTGAGCCTGCAAATGCATATAAATTCGGCAATGCTCCTCTCCATCTACTAATCAAGTGTGATGTAATTAAATCTACCTTGCATATGCTCGCACATGCTTAATGAAGCTTTTCCTTAAATCCATGCACTGGACTACACTGCTATATAAGTGATTTAAAAGATGGCCTCATTCTCAGAACTTCTTCTCTATTCATATGCACACTCAGGTTCTATACTACTTATGTGGCTTTCCCACATCCCGCATCACATGAGTAAGTATGTATCGTACGTGAGCAAGTGATAAAATGAATACCTTAGCAAGCTTGCTCTCTCCTGGCTCTTCGCCGAGAACGATGTAGCTCGTCCTGCCACTAACACTGGTCGTCACTTTCCCACCGTGTCGTTCCACCAGCTCCTTCGCTGTATCGCGCTCCAAGGAATCCAACACACCGCTGATGACGAACGTGAGACCTTCCAAGCAGTTCTCCCCACCCTGCACACCCAGTGTTTAGTGTTACATGTCTCTATAGCGTCAAATGTAGCCGGCTATTGCACACGTCCTAATTTGCTACTATGAAGACCAACTAGAGAGGAATTACCTCGAATTATTTTTCTATTATTCTATGGACAACATTTTTTTTATAGACACAAGATAATCAGTTATCTACAATACAAGTTGTTTACAATATTACATTGTAAACTTGTGAGATAATGAACTAATTGCCCCATTGCACACACATAGGATGATTACATTATACCATTGGCAGTTCTTTGGCACCAAGATGTTTTGGACCTTCTCGCTTTAGATATGCCTTGTAACCAGATGGGGTCTTATTCTCGCCAGGCTCATTTGACGGCTTAACTCCAGATGTCTCTGCTGCTGGAAGAGACAATGTAAAATGCATGTAGTACTATACATAGTTCCACAATAGTTATGCGAGGAGACAATACTAAACTCATACAATATTAATTCAATATATAAATATATAATCAAGAGCTAATAAAACAGCCTACAAGTTACACATTATAAGTTTTATCCAATATGTTAATTGTTAATTTATTATATTTATCGCTATTTTAGACATAGGATTCATTTGGAAAATGGGAAAGACCATAGTATACACCACACACTAAGGAAACTAAACAGCTTACCAAATAGATTAATATTAGACACTGTAAAATATGAGCACTTAATTATATGTTATAATTATGTTATGTTACTAGATACCACACAACTTAGCTACTTAATATACAGCCCACTTATCTCTGAACACTGAATGATCATCATGTTCTATAATAATTATTTCTATATACACATGCACAAAGGCTTGCTATTCTTAACCTCTTTAATGCAAGTGCTATAGAATGCACCTTACATTTTGGCGGGGTGTCTTCTACAAGGACTTTCACAGGAGTAGAAGGCTTTGCTGTGACATCTATTTTCTTTTCTGGAGCGTTACGGCCTATTGCTTCCTTAGTATTTACCCGTGCCTTGTGTGCTAGCTTACCAGCTATACCTAAACAGAGAGAAGTCAAAATCAATAAGAGCATTTCATATAGTATTATGAATCATTCATATTTTAACTTGTACGTTTTATGAGGATACTGAAAAAAACACGTTTTTCCCCCATTAAAATTACAAGAAGAATTTTTGGGAAACATTTAATTGGATACTGGTAATTACAATATATCAAGCCTAACAGGAAGAACATTGCTCGTCATTTTTGAGTCAAAAATTGTTTTTGTGCACTAGAATAAGATACCTACTAACTAACTAGAAAGGGCAGTTGTCGCCAACTACATGTATGCCCCCAAGATACGTGTTCTCCCTAAGATGTGTAAGTATACGAAGTTTGGTCACGCTAGGTCAATTAGGGGCCGAGTTATAGAGCGGAAAGGAAATATGATAAAGGTCAAGGTCAAGGTCAATGTCAAATAAAGGTTGCAGTGACCTGGTTTCGGTACGCGACACACCTTCTCCCCAAGACGTGTATGTATACCAAGTTTGGTCGCGCTAGGTCAATTAGGGGCCGAGTTATAGAGTGGAAGGGAAATATGATCAAGGTCAAGGTCATATAAAAGCCGCAGTGACCTTGTTTTGGTATGCAACACACATTCTCCCCAAGATGTGTAAGTATACCACGTTTGGTAGCGCTAGGTCAATTAGGGGCCGATTTATAGAGCGGAAGGAAAATATAATCAAGGTCAAGGTAAAGGTCAAATAAAGGTTGTAGTGACCTGTTTTTGGTACGCGACACACCTTCTCCCCAAGATGTGTAAGTATACCAAGTTTGGTTGCGCTAGGTCAATTAGGGGCCGAGTTATAGAGCGGAAGGGAAATATGATCAAGGTCAGGGTAAAGGTCAAATAAAGGTCGTAGTGATGTGGTTTTGGTACTCTGCAGCACCTTCTCCCAAATGTGTAAGTATACCAAGTTTGGTAGCGCTAGGTCAATTAGGGCCCGAGTTAGAGAGCGGAAGGGAAATATGATCAAGGTCATGGAAAAGGTCAAATAAAGGTCGCAGTGACCTGGTTTTGGTACGCTGCTCACCTTCTCCCCAAGATGTGTAAGTCTACCAAGTTTGGTAGCGCTAGGTCAATTAGGGGTCGAGTTATAGAGCAGAAGGGAAATTGTCTGCGGCGGCGGCGGCAGCTGGGGAGACATGAAACCATAGTATCCCCGCCCACTTCATCGCGGGGGATACAATGAGCACAAAACGTGTCCCATCACCTGTTCTGCTCAATTTTGATTCTACATGTTCTAGTTTAATTTGGCATTCATCGTTATATAGCTCAAACACTACTTAAATACAAAAGCAAAAGAAAGACGAAAATAAATCAGAATCAGTAAGTAATGTTAATAATGCTGTGTCTGCTAAGTAACTAATGTCACATATTGATGGTACAGGAGTTATACTGGCAAATGTAAAACACCAAAGTCAGATCCACCTTACACATCCTTACTTTGCTTTTTCGCTAACTTTGTGGCATCAGTGACAGGAGTCGGTGACCTTGATCGTTCATCTGCTGTTTGTTTCCTTGGGCTGATTCTCCGATGATGAACAGGCGAGTCAGACTGTGCACTAATTGCCTGTTTCCTTGGGCTAATTCTCCGAGAAGTTGGTGACATTGACTGCTCCTCCATGGCCTGCTTTGGAGGAGGTGACTTTGACCTCTCATCCGTTGTCCTTTTCCTTGGGCTAATTTTCTGTTGAGATGTACCTTCATCCTTGACAGTTTTTATTAGTGGAATCTTCAAGGGCAACACATCATGCCTTCTGTCTCCATTTACAGGAGTTTTGGATAGTGTTTGTACCGGTTTAGGTAGTGATTCTGCCTTGTTCTGGACATCATCCACTGCAATACCAGTACCTGTAGAAGTCGTCGATATATCCTTGCGTGGACTGACTCGTGACCTCACATACTGCTCTACTTGGGGCTGCAATAAGATCCCCAATTACATAAATAATCACTAACAATATGGTGATCATAGTATATACAATCCATAGATGTCAAAGGCGAAGAAGATCACAATCTAAACTAAACTGAGCTATACTATACTAAAATATCCAAAAAACAGGATACCTACAGAATACATCACAATTTTACAAGTGCTAATATTTACCCCCCCCCCCCCCATTATAAATGCTATGAATGCGCCTGTTTGCCTATTAGTTATATTGACTTTTTACATGGCAGCATATACTGGCTTGTAATACATGTGTAGCAGATTCATCAGACTACATCGTGCTCTCTAGGAATTTGAAAAGACATGTCATTTATGGATGGATTACCAATACAATTGGCATCAATTATGCATGTCACAAGCCGTCATAATACACAGTTAAACTCGCTCAGTTTGTATCGAGACATGTCAATCAAACTGAAAACACACCACAACTGTGTTCAGATTTTCAAAAGTAAACAATGCACAGCTGGAAATAAAACCATTTTAATTAGGCAAGTTCATAGCCAATGTCTGAAATTAGCATCAGCTTTGAAGTCATGTCGAAACATGTTATAAATGTCTGAAGAAACCCTGTAAAAGCTTCGTCTCACTATATCAGATGAGCTAAAAATACTAGATCATTGAACTGGTGAAAGAGCATTGTTAATATGATGTATGATTTAGATGATCATGCATGACCATAAGTTTAACTTATTATGTATTATAGCCTATATACTCTATATAAAGAAAACTGAACTAAAAACAACTGCAAAAAATACCTTTTTTGGTTTCTTTGCGTCGGAGTCAATTACAATTAAAGTTTCCTCAAAGTCACTATCATCATGGATCTCTAATTCATCAACATTATGATGTGAGCCGTCATTTTTCTTCATGTCAACTTTAGACTGTAATCCATAACAGAAACATGCACACTTCATTATGTAACATTCCATTTCACACCAAAACATGTACTTGCACTAGCCAGAAAATCAATGTGATTTTAAGTTTGTTTAACCTTAATTGATGGCAAATAGTAAAATGTAAAGTACATAAAAAACTATGCACCTCTTTTTTCTTTGCTGCCACTACAGGTTTACTTGACCTTGTCACAGATGCTGCACCAAAGAAATCAGCGACAGAGATAGGTTTCGACTTGGCCGGAGTTTTCTGCTTTTTCTTGGCGACATCTTTCTTCTTAGGAGAGACAAACTGATCTATCGTACCCTGACCTTTGATTGGAGATTTACGTGGCGATTTCCACCTACTTCTGGATTTCTTTGTTGATTCAAATTCCTCATCATCATCTACACACATAAACAAGGAATATATAGATCATCAGTGCAATTTTAAATGGTACCCAACTGGTGCACAGCAGCACTATGCATAGATTTGTAATGCTACTACAAGTAGACATGTACGTAGGCACATAATGTATATTCTATACTGAACAAGTGCTGCAGGACCACAGTGTCAATTTGCTACTAAACTGCTATTAAAATAAGTTTTGTTACCTGAGCCAGATGCAAGCACAGCTGGTTTGCTTCTGGTATTCTTGCTTGACTGTCTTGTGTTTGAGGTGGGCTTTTTAGGCAATGGATCTTCATCATCTGAACCTATAATATTATGTAATTTTTACCTGGTTGCCCGGGCAAGAAGGATCTATGTCAAAGAATAAAGAATCTATGTCACCTTTGACTTCCAGTCTCAGGCAACATTTATTTATTAGTTCACAAAGCTCCATGTTTCTCTTACAACCAGTTTTTTGTTACATGAGTGTTCTGACATGCTGCCAGGGAGAAGAAGTACAATTCCACATATGAGACCTGATACTGTCCACCTCCAATGAAACAATCATTATTTTGCTATACATCATGGGGCCACTGGTGGTGGTGGTCGTGGTGGGAGTTGCCAGTGTTTACAATTTAGCGATCAAGCTTGAACTAGCAAACACGCCATCGTTGAACAAATCTCAATTATGGAAATATTATGAGCATCCAGTATCATATTTAAATGGTACCAACAATGATTCCACCCAAAAGAAATCTACTCGATTGGTGGTGGGAGAAACAAACAAACAAGCAAACAAACAAACAAACAACAAACAAACAAACAAACAAAAAACAAACAACAAACAAAGTAAATAATGACTTTATACTCTAAACAATGTGCTAAATAATATTTTTATCGTTGGCCCCCCATACCTATCCACTTCTTTCACGCCTCATGAAAAACTACCTCTCTATTCCAGCCACATCTGTGCCCAGTGAACATGTTTTTTTTAACTGCTGGCAATATTGTAACAGGCCAGAAGCCCGCCCTTACTGGCGAAAAAGTTAACAAATTAATTTTTACGAAAAAAACAGAAATGTAACTTTCACTTGAAGAGTTAACAATTATACTACATCACCACGATATGACAAATTTATCATAGCATACAAATTATAAAAATTACAATATCTCTCTTTCTGTCAGTGTACCATACCGTGACCCTGGTGTATCGATACACTTCTAATAAGACCGCATAATTTACATCAGTCGGGATCACCACTCACTGGACAACTCACAGATACTGCTGGTTTTTATTTCATGACATATGATAATGGAATGCTTTGCACTAATTACAATGCCTTATGATTTGCTGCCGTATAACAAATATATATATATATATATATTGGCAAAAACTTGTGTAAATAAGCAAAACAAAAATATTTTTCCATACCCGTGTCAGATACAATCACAACTTGCTGTTTTTTGGTTTTCCTGGTTAAGCGTTTCACATTCTTCTTGGGCAATGGGTCTTCGTCATCTGATTCTATAAGATATATATATATATACACACAGCTTGCTACATTAGTCACATCACGGCAAACATCCCAGATAATTCTTATTCACAAAAAACTAGCATTTGATTTTACAGTCATGCAACTTTTAGAGAATAATCAATACATAGGTGTGTATAAAGCACCAAATTCATTGCCATATCTGATTTGTAGATATTCTGTGGAAATGTTATAATATACGAATTTATTGTGTGCTTGTTCATTAATTATATAATGAATTCCAACATGATTGTTAACGTACCAGACTCTATAATTACCCTCTTCTTTGATCTTGACTTCTTTTTAATGTCTTCGTCTGAGCTCTCCACCTCAAGCACAAAATATCAAGTTACATTAAAAGCTGGCAAGGATCTCGCACCATACAACATGTACAGCCTGTATTTAGGAAAAGGGGTGTATATTAGAGAGAACACACGAGTGGCTATAAGATGTAATAACAGCAGGATACAGCAATACAACCTAAGCAGTAATGGATGTGTAGGGCTTCTAAATAAGCAGAAGCATATGAAAGTGTGACCAAGCACAAAATGTGACAATGTGCTTAGAAGCCTACAATACATTATATTCATGTAAATTTGACAGAAAAAGTAATGGTCTAAAAGACTGCAATTCCAAATTTCAAGATAGACACTTTCTTCTTGTTTGTAAAACCATTTTGCATTAAATCTCATATGATAATTGCATGGGTTGCTGGGATACATAACTATGCTAGGCAGGGTGTATAGTGATTACAAACAACAAAGATACCTGTGCTAAGGACATATAGCAACAATTAAGTACCTGTTTTCTTTTGCTAGATCTTTTCCTCGTCTCGTCTCGCACTGATATTGGCTTCTGGGATTCAGTCAATTTTGTCCGTGTGGACGTTTGCCCACCAAAAAAGTTTCTGATATCCTGTAAAACAATAAAATACGATATATGCACAATGAATGTTATACAAAACTACAGTCAATTGACACAGGCAATTATGCTCCATAGGTTTCCATTCATGAATATAGCTTGAAGATTACCACATCGTTCATCCACGTATGGAATATTATTGACTCACACAGTAAATATGATGTGTCATGGCCACTTAATATAACTGGCTCATGTGGCTTCAAGTAGTGTATTTCAGTCCTGTGTATAAGATTATTGACACATCTTATGGAGACGGCAAGGAGAAAGGGTGGAGATGTGATGGGGGAGAAACAATTAAGGTAAAGAGAGGATGGGTGGTAGAGGTGGAGACGATGTAAGGAGGGAAGAGATGGCAGGAATGAATGGAAACGGGTAAGGATATGTACATGGAGAGGAAGGAGAGAAGGTTGATGAGTTCGAAGATGAGAGATGGGAAAGACAGATAAGTTGGAGAATGGGAAAGGAGAAATTGGAGCAGAGTAGCTGAAGACGAAGACATATCATGTAAAGAATTGGGAAGGAGGTGGAGGGATGTGGCAGATGGGTTATGACGTAGAGCTAAGAAAATGGAGGAGAAAGCGAGAGGCGTGGGGTATATAGGTAAAGGAAAGGGGAGAAGTTTGATGGGGGAATACAAAGATGTGGAGAAGGGGTAAGGAGGGGGAGAACAATACAGAATTACGTCCCCAGAAAGGGTGAGGGCAATTTTTCTTTTGATTATTCACGAGCAGTACAGCTACCACACACTACTAAATCACAGGCAGTAGTGCCAGCAGTCCCACTACTAGTACTATAGTCACTATGAGTACTATAGTGCCGGTGCCATTAGAGATTGTTGGCTGGTTAGTCTAGACTCTAGAAACTAGAGCTGTCAGAGTCAAGTGCTTTGTACGTCGTCATTTGCGTATTGCGAGGTCCCAAACTAGGATTGACCATCTCCGTCGATGTCGATGAGGAGCTCATGTCACTTAGTGACTTAGCTAGACTTAGTCTTTACATTAGCCTTTACTTTAGTAGCTATAAGTAGGGCTTACTTAAGCCTAAACTGACTAAAGTTAAGGCTAGGCAGCAGGCTTAGCTAGTACTAGTAGTACGAGTAAGATATCAACCCGGCCTAGCCAGTCGCAGTAGCCATGGCCTACTCCCCCGCCTAGACCCTAGGCTAGCCGCTAGGGCCTAATTAAATAAATAAAATAATGACATATCGTATATGTTACTGCCGAATTTGGTTTATTATAAATTCATTGCGACTGTATCATGGTGCTGCCACTAAATAGTGTAGTTTGTTGAAAAGACGCGTAGCGAGAGGCTTACAAGCATGCGCGTTAATCACTTCCCAGAAGCCAGCCAGGCAGGTACACGCGACAGCCACAAATCACGTATCAGTGTGCGCGACACGTTCTTTATTAAGACAACGACATTTCCATAGACACCCAGACATCTCAGCGATGTAAGTAACACATATAATAGTTAATACTCTAGTTTGTGGTAAATTACTATAACGGTTTGTTTGTTACGCATGTAACACTTGTTATAGCATAATGTTTAACGCTTGCATATTTTTCTTTGTAATTTCAGTTAAAACCACACAACCACAACCATGTACAGTAGAGAACAAACAAATGTAAATAAGACTATGTGTGCGTATTTCACGCTGAAACAGTTTTAAATCGACAAAACTCAACGTCAGACAATGTAGCCGGACGGTTACATAGTTTTAAATCGCCGTACGTCTCAATAAGACATTCAGAATGGCAAGTGGTGGACAGAACTCGGCTCGTCACGACGAGAACGTTCTGAAGAAAATGGGATCAACGTGCGGGCGAGCTAAGGCAATGCTAACGAGAGTATTAAACGACATCCGTGATTTGATGAGTATCACGCAGAATTTGAACAAAGTGCAAGTAAAGATTCTACATTTGGACGAAGAATTGTCGATGTACATGCAACGGCAAGCCGAATATCATGCACTGCTCACCGATGAGGCTGACGTGCAGAATTCAGTAATCGATTCAGTGATCGACGAAGTTGCTCAAATGCGGAAACGGGTTGAGAATTGGGTGGCTGAGGTGCAATCTGCACAAGATGAAATTCGCCCTGACGACTCTGCCAGCAATGTCAGTCGTCGTACACTACATTCCAAGGCAAAAAGTTACTCGTCGAATGCTTCAAGAACCAGCTCTGTTATGAGCGAACGCCTCAAGGCATCGGCTGAGAGGGCTGCTCTAGAAGTAGAAGCAGCCTCGCTTGCAACTCGACGATCACTTGAAAGAGAAGAGCTGGAATTGAAACAGCGTCGCAGAGAACTCAATCTTCAGGAGAGCATAGCAAAGGCTGAGGCTCATGAGCGAACAAACTCGGAGGCTGAGGGAACTCTACGTGGAAGGTCGGATATTGGTACCACGTACACATGTCTTACACTGGACGCGTCCGATAGCCAACGTAGGGCACTCCACTGAGGCACAACGAATTATTCAACCCAATTTAAACGTAAGACAACCCACAGCAATGAGGGCAGATCACCGACCGACACAAACCAGCAAACTGGACTCTACAGGTCAACAAGGAATAGGAAACATTCTCGTTCAGATGCTTAATGACACTAGGGCACAACAGCAATCTTTAGTAGAAGCTCTACAGCTACCAAAAACCGAAATGATGTCATTCGATGGTGATCCTCTCAAGTACTGGGGTTTCATCCGTGCCTTTGAGAACATTGTGGACAAAGATACCATAAGCAGTGAAGCGAAACTTGCCCGACTGTTGCACTACTGTACAGGGCCCGCAAGGAAGCGAATACAGTGCTGTAGTGTGATGGAACCTGCCGAAGGATATGCTCATGCGAGGAGTCTCCTCAAGAGCCGATTTGGAAGCTCTTATCACATATCAGAAGCTTGGATAGAGAAGATCAATCGTTGTCCTGATGTAAATGGCAGTAAGGCTTTGCGGGACTATGCTGATGACCTGCGCATTTGCAGAAAGACGTTATCCACCATGGGGAATCCCGGTGAGCTGAACAACAGCAGGAGTCTTCTTCAGATAGCTGAGAAACTACCAATGGACTTGCGCCAATGTTGGGCAAAGAAAGCTTACCATATTAGGACAAAAGATGAGTGAGTCCCTAACATCGATGATATGGTTGAGTACGTCGACGCAGCAGCAGACCAAGCGAATGACCCAGTCTTCGGCAAGCTCATGCAGGAAAGGGACAAGCAACAGCACAAGGACACGTCAAATAACAAGAAGGGGAAGCAGCGTTCTACCTTTAACATTCAGGTAGATCAATCTGCCACTAAGTTTGTCACCCGTCAAGCGCAGACAGTGCCATGAACCCCATGGCGACTGAAACCCACGTCACTATTGTGGCGGCCGTCACTCGTTGTTTGGCTGCAATGGCTTCAAGTCACTGAGACCCGGCGAACGGCTAGATTTTGTGCAAAGTAAACATCTTTGCGTAAATTGTCTGTGCTCTGGACACCGATCTGCTGAGTGCTCCCGGAATGAATTCAGTGTGCACTGTGCGGCGTGCCTGGCTGTGGACAGAAGCATACGAAATTTCTGCATCTTCCACGTCCAAGAGACAATGTGGTAATGGCTTCAACAATACCAAGGAACGACATCGATCAGCAACAATGAGAGTGACAGACAATTTCAGACACTTGCCAACCTTCGAACACCCACAGCGAGCACCTCAACAAATGCAACATGTAGTCGCTCTGAGGCCGACGTGGGTAAGGTGGCTCTCCCTATTGTGCCAGTTAAGGTTCGAGGATATGGAGCCATCGGTTTTATGACGACATATGCCCTGCTTGACTCAGGATCCACTCAGAGCTTCTGTTCAGAGGAGCTGGTGAAGAGACTAGGAGTACCTGGGCGACATAATACAATAACGCTTACAACCCTAGACAACAAGGACGTTTTCCCTGACACCCATGTAGTAAGTCTTGAAGTGGCAGACTTGGAGAATGAAAATCTCATATCCATGTCGCATGTTCTCACTAGGCCCAAGCTCCACATCAGCAGTGACAACCTTGTGACAAGAGCAGACCTCGACAGGTGGCCACATTTGCAGGACATTAATATACCAGACATAAACACTAAGGAGGTTCACCTACTTATTGGTCAAGATAACCCTGCTGTATTGATATCTACGGAAGTCCGTGAAAGAGGTTCAGGAGCACGTACGCAACTAAGACCATTTTGGGCTGGACTCTCAATGGTCCAATGGAAGCAGGGCCCTCAACTCGTATTTCCTCACACTTTATCGATGCCGATGCTATTCTTCAACGCCAAGTGGAAAGGTTTTGGAAGCTGGACGATGTGGGAGGAGACACCATCGGAATGTCAGTCAGTGATAGAAAGGTTATCTCTATCTGGGAGCAATCATTGCATTTTGAGAACGAACATTATAGCATGAATATTCCCTTCAAGCAGCGACAGCCCCTTCTTCCTGACAACAAGTCGCTGGCTGAACGTCGGCTGCATCTCTTAAGTAAGCGGCTTAGAAAAGATAACAGTTTACAAGACAAGTACGTTGCCGGAATAGTAGAAATGCGCAATAAGAGGTATGCAAAGATTGTACCGCCCGAGGAGCTAAATCGCACTGATACCTGCCCCATCACCCCGTCATACATCCCAGAAAACCTGGGAAGGTGAGAGTTATATTTGACTGTGCAGAAAAGTACAGCAGAACATCACTTAATGATGTGGTACACCAGGGACCGGATCTAGCCAACAAGCTGGTTGGAGTACTGCTTCGATTCAGGCAGGAACCCATATAGTCTTTATGGCAGACATTGAAGGAATGTTTCACCAGGTCTTGGTCAACCAAGATGACAGAGATACACTCCGTTTCCTTTGGTGGAAAGATGACAGAGATACACTCCGTTTCCTTTGGTGGAAAGATGACAGAGATACACTCCGTTTCCTTTGGTGGAAAGATGACGACCCGACAAAGTGTGTACATGTGTACCGAATGACCGCACATCTGTTTGGAGCAGTGTGGAGCCCGAGTTGTGTGAATTTCGCGCTAAGGCGTACTGCATCTGATAATGCTTGGAAGTACAGCGCTGACACCGTCAACATGGTTGACTAGAATTTCTATGTTGACGATTGTCTAATGTCAGTCTCAGATGCTACAAAGGCAATAGAACTTGTTAAACAGCTACGAGAGATGCTTGCCATAGGTGGGGTTTGCCTCACCAAGTGAATCAGCAATTCACGTAAAGTACTACGCTCGGTTCCATAGTCAAGGTTGGCCAAGGAAGTCGTGTCTCTAGATTTAGACAAGGATCCTTTGCCTGCCGAGAGGGCGCTTGGAGTACTCTGGAATACAGAAACTGACATGTTTAGTTTCGATGAATAACGTGAAAGACAAGGCTCTCACTCGACGAGGCTTATTGAGCATTGTAAGCTCAGTATATGACCCCCTGGATTTTGTAAGCCCATACATACTGAAGGCTAAGGTTCTCTTCCAGAAGCTGTGTAGACTCGGGACTGGCTGGGATGACCCTATGCCTGAAGCTATAGCCAATCAGTGGGCCTGGTTGATAGGAGACCTACCATTGCTTTGTGACATGTCGATCCCGCGCTCCATAAAACCAACAGCACTAGACGATACAAATTTGGCGCAGCTACATCTTTTTTCAGATGCCTCGGAGAGTGGTTATGGAACTGCAACATACTTGAGGATTGTGGATGGTTTAGGACAAGTGCATTGCAACCTTTTGATGTCAAAGGCCAAAGTAGCGGCCTTAAAATCTACGACAATACCACGCCGCGAATTAGCAGCAGCTGTGCTATCTGTCAAACTAGATGAAATAATACGCCGAGAATTGACAATGACACTGCTGGACTCAGTTTTCTGGAGGGACAGCATGATAGTCTTACACTAAATAAGAAATGACGACAAGCGGTTTCAGACGTTTGTTGCCAACCGCGTTGCCGAGATTCGTGAGCACTCATTACCCACTCAGTGGCTAAATGTGAATACTCAATCCAATCCTGCAGATGACGTTTCACGAGGACATACTGTACGAACAAGAGCTTCTTGACAATGAGTGGTGGATACATGGGCCCAGCTTCCTATGGCAGAAGGAAGCGACTTGGCCAGCCTTTTTGAACAGCTTGCTTGATCAGCAACAACTTAATGATGAAGGACTTGTCACCCTCATGTGCATCGTAGAAGGCATCATGAATGGTCATCCCATTACCAAACTATCCGATGACCCACGTGACGCAGCTCCATTGACACCTAACCATCTGCTGTTACTTCGCTCTGGTCCATCCTTCCCACCTGGAATCTTCGTTAAGCAGGATTTTTACCGCAAACGATGGCGCCAAGTTCAGTATCTGGCTGACGTATTCTGGCAACGTTAATTGGCTAAAGAGTAAAGGAATATCTGCCATCGCTACAGGAAAGGCAGAAATGGTTGAGCGCAGAAAGGAATCTGCAAGTTAAATTGCCTTAGTTGGTGATCTCGTACTGATCAAATACGGGAAATTAGAAACGTTTCTAAATATTTTTGTCGCCGGTCGTTGTCGCGTGTGACGTTGTGACTTGTGTGTGCAATGGCTCATACTCATAGTCATACTGGTACAAGTAGCGTTTACACACCCATGTCGTAAGTTTGGTTAGGGTTAGGGTTATGTTTAGGGTTAGGGTTTTTAAACCTGGGGTTGTAAAATAGGAATGGGCCGTCATGCTCATACTCATAGACTAGTCATAGGAAACAATAGTTTCTAATTCTCTGAAACGTCGTTTGTCGTTACGGTCGGTCGCTGTCGCTGCAGTGTGTCTAGGCCTTTAATGTTTAATGCTTGGCGTATTTTTCTTTGTAATTTCAGTTAAAACCACACAACCACAACCATTACCAATTACCATGTTGATGTTGTACACTGTACACAGTACAGTAGAGAATAACGAACAAATGTAAATATTAAGACTGTCACTATGTGTGCGTATTTCTCGCTGAAACAGTTTTAAATCGACAACACTCAACGGCAGACAACGTAGCCGGACGGTTACATAGTTTTAAATCGACAACACTCAACGGCAGACAACGTAGCCGGACGGTTACAGCATATCTCCCCCAATGTCCACGGAGAGCACCCATAATATTATAGTTATTCTCATTAACTCGAGCCGTGTAATGACAGAGGAAGAAGCATCAGCAATCACAAACACTTACCATTTTGTACGACAGTGGCTCCGCAGTCCGCAGGCAGTAGCAAATTCCCGCGTGATTTTTGGAAAACACGGAACCGCTGCAAGATTATTCTTTTGACTCACACTAGGCGGCGCTAAGGAGTTGCCATAGATACTCGTACGCAATCATTGCTCTCAACGTACGTAACGCCGGTAGTATGTAAAATTACATTAAAATTACATTAAATATCCCATAAAGCAAACACGCTACCACAGTTGTAACTTGTACTTGTAGTTAAGTGTCTGTTATGTATATAATATGAACGACTGAGTAACTTCATGTATGATGTAGACCTAAAAAGTAAAATAGATTTTCTTGTTATTGTCAATATTGAATATTGTCAATGTTATTACTGCCTGCGGCAACTGTACGCGGGCTATAGTTACTAGAGCTACCCTAACCCTAACAGTAACACTAACCCTAACCCTAACCCTAACCCTAACCCTAGCCACAAGTTCCCATCTCGCTTAACACTACGTGGCGAGAGGCTACACGGCCTACGACGTGTAACAGTCGGAGAGCCTGCACGGTCGGTTTAACCCTAACCCTAACCCTAGCCACAAGTTCCCATCTCGCTTAACACTATACGTGGCGAGAGGCTACACGGCCTACGACGTGTAACAGTCGGAGAGCCTGCACGGTCGGTTTAACCCTAACCCTAAACATACCTCATATAAAAATATAAACA